CTATTCATTAAGAGAATGTAACTGTATATTGATTCTACCCATTTGAATACACAGATACAAAATGGACATTCATCTGCATCCCCTTTTTGTTGTTAGACAGCAAACTTATATGTGAGCCAGGGTCATATATGCTTTGGGACAAGGGTCCTTTCTCCTGTGTGGGAGTAAAGCAATGTGTTTCTCTTTGTTTAAGATCACTGGGGGCCAATAATACACCACAATGTGTTTCTATGGCAGTTGCTAAATTACAAAGATCACAAATAAATTCACAGTAAGGACCACAATCACATAACATGGTCCTGGGTAAAAGCAGAGATATTTATTGCCACATAAGTTTTCATTTAAGAAGAAAAATCAATATATATATATATATATAAAACTGGTGTGGTGACGCTCTACTATAGTCCTAGCACTTGGGAGGCTGAGGCAGGAGAATCACTGTGAGTTCAAGGCCAGCCTGAACTACACAGGGAGAAACTATCTTTTAAAAAAAAAAAAGAAAAATAGGAATATTCCTCAAATGCCATTTTCTTTTTTATTTTCTTTTTATTTATTTTTTAACCAGGGATTGAACTCAGGCCCTTCCACTTTCCAGGGAAGTGTTTATTCCACTGAGCCATCTCCCCGGCCCCCAAATGCCATTTTCAACATAGTACTTTTGTTTAGCACATGCTTATGTGTTTTGTGCTTCTATATTCTCTTTTTTTATGGTTACAGATATGAACTTCTACCTGTAAGTTAGATACTTAGAGTCACCCCTTAAAAAACAGCCACCAGCTGTGTTACAAGTGTGACTGCCACCTCTCATCAGTCACAGGGCAGCAGGGTAGGGGGTGCTGAAGGGTTTGGGAGGAAACACTGGATCATTAAAAAAATTTTTGAAAAAGGTCAAACTTCCAAATTAGCATTGATTAATGATCAGGGAAAAATGAAGCTCATGAAATAATGAGGCCAAAGAGAAATTTGTAATAAAGTAGGCACATCTCAGTTGCATAAGCACCTGCCTTGCAAGCACAGGGTCGTGAGTTCAATCCCTGGTACCACCAAAAAAAAAAAAAAAAAAAAAAAAAAAAAAAAAAAAAAAAAAAAAAAAAAAAAAAAAGTAGGCAAGTATTTGAAGTTGTGAAGATTTCTGCTATTAATCTGGAAAAAAAAATACAGAAGACCTCCTCGTAGACTGATATGTTGAACTGGGAGACATAAGAAACAGCCAGTTTTCATTCTGGCAGACAAACCATTACGAACCTTTTCTGGAAGAGTTTTGAACATAAGCAGCACTTCAGAAGGATGTGGGATGAACCATAAATTGAGGAAGATCTGTCCATCCTCTGACAGCAAACTCTGAGGTCGGCGCTGAAAACTCCTACATTAGAAGAGAGCACCACAGCACAGCATTTCCCTCCAAACCATGGGCATCCTGAGCAAGGGCTATTTAGACCCTGGCTGCAGGCCACAGGCCTGTCACCACAGGCTCCATCCATGTCCAAGCCCAAGGACAGTAACCTTCCTTTCTCTGTTCCCAGGTGGCCAGAGTTATTTATAAACAACTCAATGGGAAGAAGAGCGACTGGGCTGATTTTAGCCTGAACTGTGTGGGAGGAAGGCTTCGGTTTGGAGAGAGGGAAAGGTGGTAAGAGAGGAAAAGCAGGGCAGAAATTAGACAGTGGACACCATCCTGGGTGTTACATATTTTATGTTGCTCAATGCTCTGACAACCTTAGGATGGATCTATTTTTATATCGATTACACAGCTGAGGAAATTGAGGCCTTGAGAGGTTGGATACTGCCTACCAACTCCTGAGACATGAATTTAGGATTTAAATGCATATCTGTCTGGCTGTAGAATCCAAGCTGTAGACCTTGATTTCATTTTCCTTCCCTCCCACCATGTTTCTTGCTATGTTCTTCAGCCTCTGGCCTCTCCTCCCCCAAATACCTTGCCATCTCTTAGGCAGCAGAGCAGCTGTCTATGTTGCAGGTTTACATCGAAAGAGCATCCCAAGATGTCCACTGTAAGGATTCTCACAAAGCCAGGTACCTGACCAGGAAGCAGGATGTCACCAACACCTCTGAAGCTTGATGGCACCATCTTGTGGCCCCCAGATCAACCCCGTTGAATTTTACATTGCTCAATGCCTTGCCTTTTTCTGTGGTTTTACCAAAAACAGACACATCAGTAAGAGGTGATAGCTTTTGCCTGTTCTTGGCTTGCTGCAGGTGGAAGGCCCAGGGGGAGATGGCATTCTGATCTGGTTTCTGGATCATCCAAAGAGCAGGGCTGTCCCTGGAATCCCACCTGAAGGAATCAGTGTCATCATGACTAGTGAGCTGTGCCCCTCTGGAGTGACAGAAGTGGCCAGAGACGTGCAGTTAACAGGGTGTGGAGTTTGGCATAAGAAGATCTGATTTTGGGACCAGGTTCCATCCTCTATAACTGTACAGTCTTGCCTCCTCATCTCTAATAGGGGGTAATTACTCTTAATTTACAGGGTCAGTGTGAGAAATAAGTTTCTAAAAGTGCAGCTGGAAAATATTTTTTTAAATATAGTGGTGGAAGGTAAAGTCTGTTAGAATCATGCTAAGGTGTGGGCCTCTGGCACCTGCTGGGTGGGATCTAGGTGTGCATGGGTAATCTTCAGAGGGATCTGTTAAGAACTGGGGGCCTGAGGCTGCTGAGAGGAGGTCTTAAGACTGGTATGCAAGTGGGAAAGCAGAGACCAGCAGCCCCTCAAGCCTGGCCTCACAGAGAAACAGAAGGTGGCATCGTGGCTGTGGAGCCCTGGCTCTAATCCTGGTGTCTCCTCAGGGGACCTGGAGTCAGTCTTTGCTCCTCCCATCCTTGCCCAGCCCTGGGCGGTCATGTTTACTCTTCTGGCTACAACTGCTGTCCATCTGCCAATGACTCCAGTGTCTAGGCCGTCAGGCTGGGCCTCTCTCCTGCTCTACAGGTCCAGCTCGCTTCATCTCCCTTCAGTGCCTCAGAACAGCTCAAATGAAACAGGCAGGGACCGAGCCCCTCATAGCCTTCTCCTCCAATGTGAAGTCCGCCGTGTCACAGGACCCTGCTTTCCCCCTCAGTCCCCGAAGCCAGGAGTTGGCATCATTTGTACGTTTTCCTTTCTCCTTACTGCTCAGGCCTGCTGATTAAGTTACTAAAACCTCTGGCATGTTTGTGCCCAGCTTTCTCTGCCATTCCCTCTGCCCACAGCCAGGACTCTCAAGCCGAGAGTCTCACTTGCTAAGGCAGAGTTTTGTTTTGTTGTTGTTGTTTTTTTCCAGGGACCTGCTCCTCAGCCCCGGCTAGCCTTGAACTCACTATGTAGCCTAGGCTGGCCTCCTTGAATTCACAGTGATTTTTCTGCCTCAGCCTCCTGAGTGCTGCAATTACAGTTGTATACCACCATGCCTGGCTTCATGCAGTCTTTTCTCTATTTTTCAGTTCACAGTATTTGATGGTACACAAAGGAAACACTGACTATTGAAAATAAAAAGTCTAAGTCTAAGGGGCTGGAGAGACTAGCTCAGTAGAATAAATGCTTGCTTGGCAAGCATAAGGTCATGAGTTCAATTCCCAGTTCCACCAAAAAAAAAAAAAAAAAAAAAATGTCTGAGTCTGAGCTTCTGTGCCTGCCCACTGTAGGCCTTGGTCACATCAGTCCCTGGAACTCCAGGGCCTCTGTCCCTTCCCCATCTGTCCTTTCCCACTGTTTCCACCCTTGTGTGTGGTGAGCAACCATTTGCCAAGGAAGAGCAGAGACGGGCCGAAATGTGGGGTGCTTCCCGTGGGGCATCAGCCTGGCGCTCAGCACTCCAAGGAGACTTGCTCTGCCCCCCTTGCTCTTCCCTTCTGGATGGCCTTCCATCCAGGCCTGAGAGTGTTGTCCCTCTTTACCGTTATTCCTTTAGCCACCCACTCCTGGGCTACACCCCAAACCATCATACTCTGGAACCACATTGCCTCCAAAGTCCTCACTGTCCCAGTCCAAGCTCACATCCTTCCAACATTTCATTCCTTCCCACTAAATCTCCCTTATATCACAAAATAAGGTTCTTGCCAAGTTTATGACTTGGAGCTAACATAGTCCCAAAGGCTCATGTACTTGGAAGGTGGTAGGATCATGGGCCTTTAACTGCATCAGTGGATTGCTCCACTGATGGATTCATAATCTGATGGCATTATTGGGAGATGTAGACATTTAGCAGATGGGGGACTGAGCTGAAGGGAGTGGGTCATGGGGCTGTGATGGTAGGGACTTTATCTGGTCCTGTGCCCTTTATCCTAGGGGCATCTCTTTCTGTTTCCTGGCTGCCAGCAGGTGAACGACTTTCTTCTGCCGAGATATTCAGCCTCACACAGGGCCCGAAACAACGAAACCTGCAGACCCTGAGCAGAAGCATAAGACACTGTGAACCCAAGTCAACTCTTCCTCTTTATGCTGATTGTTCAGGCTGTGCCCGAGGCAATCAGCAGTGGCCAAGATCCAGCCTGTACTTACTTTACTTGCCAAACTTGAACCCCAGAAGGATGATAGTGGCCTCACTTCTCTCTCTGTCTCTGTTTGTCTCTGTCTGTCT